TAGTTCCTGTGTGTGTGTGTGTGTGTGTGTGTGTGTGTGTGTGTGTGTGTGTGTGTGTGTGTGTGTGTGTGTGTGTGTGTGTGTGTGTGTGTGTGTGTGTGTGTGTGTGTGTGTGTGTGTGTGTGTGTGTGTGTGTGTGTGTGTGTGTGTGTGTGTGTGTGTGTGTGTGTGTGTGTGTGTGTGTGTGTGTGTGTGTGTGTGTGTGAAAGAGAGAGTGAGTGTGTGAGTCACAGCCTCTGTGTATTTGTTCATTATGTACAGACTCTCATCAAACATGTCCTGCTCTTCCATCCCTCTACAAACAGACCTTTTAAAACCAGCACACATAATACAAGCTGCATCTCTTCACCTGCTCAGATGCACATAGAGTGGCGTGGGAGGGATGTTAGAACACAAACAGAGGGACCAGACAGAGAATTGATGGACAACATTTATGGGAGAGACATGGTGATATTCATTAAGCTGTGGAGAAGAGATTTTGGCAGCCGCGTCTAGTACTAGTCCAAAGGCTGAGATGGCCACTAAAGATTTAGCTGGACCATATGGTGGTGCAGAGACACGGAGGGGGAAGGGAGTGTGTGAGAGAGGAAGAGAGATGGATGTAGTGTTTTGGTGAGGCTGCATTGCAGAGCCCTGCTCCTGATGAAAACCCTATTAGTAATTACATTTAATGAGCCGCTGAAGCAGGAAGTCTATCTGCTAGCAGCCCACACACACTTGCTTATTACTGACACAATATTAGATACAAATTGTGCATGTGTAATTTTTTGTAAAACATTTTCTCAGCAAATGTTGGTGGTGAATGGTGCTAAGCCGGTGTTGTGGGAGGTTGATCTGTGCTTGCTAATGCTTGTTTTTAGCACACTGCGTTATGGTTGCTACAGTGTGCTGGGGGGTTGAGAGATGTCACTGCTTATTGGTGGAAGTTAAAAGAGGCTTCTAAAGTCCAAACATGCATAAAGTATGCAGAATAGATGTTACTAGGATTGCATTCATTCTACAAACACTATCCTTCAAAACTGGGATCAGTAAGATTATTTTTTTTAAAGAACTATAATTCAGCAAGGATGAATTAAATTGATCAAAGGTTACGGTATACATATATAATGTTACAAAACATGTCTATTTTAAATAAATGCTGTCCTTTTGAACTGTCTTTTCATTGAGGAATTCTGAAAAAAGTATCACAAAAATATGAAGCAGTACAGCTGTTTTCAACATTTATAATAATTAGACATGTTTCTTGAGCAGCAAACCAGAATATTAGGATGATTTCTGAAGGATCATGTGACACTGAAGAAGACTTGGAGTAATAATGCTGAAAATTCAGCTTTCACATCGCAGGAATAAATATATATTGAATTACAAAAAACAGCTTTTTATTAAATTTGTAATATTTCACAATATTACAGTTTTTACTGTGTTTTTGATAAAATATATGCAACGTTTCTGAAGACTTCTTTCAATAGCATTAAAAATGACCCCAAACTTTTAATGGTATACATGCATACTTATATACAGAACAGTTGATAAGTTCATTAAATGCTTTACATACTCTCACAGCACACAAGTTTGAATAACTTATGAATATCGTGGTCCTCCTTGGATATGACTGGTTCCTCTTTCAGGGCGTCTTTGTATATTTGTTTTAGTTATTTTGTTTTTGTTTTTTTTGCGAGTTTTATTGTCTAGGCAAATCTAATGCCAAGCAAAATTCGTAATTTGTAATTGCAAGGGTTTGAGGTAAGAATCGTGTATAAAGACAAGTTATGCGCTGAAGTTTAATTTTAAGGGGGTGGTATAATGCCCCTTTTTTTTACAAGATTTGTGAGTGTGTATGTGAATGTTTAGCTCAAAATACCTCACAGATCATTTTTTATAGCATGTTAAATTTGTCCCTTTTTGAGGGTGAGCACAGCAAAAACGCATTGTTTTGTGTGTCCCTTTAAATGCAAATGAGCTGCTGCTCCCGGCACAGAGGCCGGGGCTACAACAGCTCGTGTCCTTAGCAGCGCCGATTACACGCAGACACGCACTAAAATGTCAGAAACTGTTCTGCCTTTTATGTTCAAACCGGAGTCGGACAATGATGGAGAGACTCGAGAAGAAGTGACAACATGTAGAAGGCAACAGGACGTTTCTGAATGGTTAGTTGATGAATTTGTTGCTGATGAGGAGTTAACTTTTTTCAAGTCCTTGATTAGCATATTCTGTCATGATAATCTATAAATCGCTTGTGTAGGAACTGATGTAACATGCCTACATAGTGGCATGCTATTGCATTTGTGTTACGTATTGTATTGCAATAAATGTGAAAACACGGATGCGACAGCTTGAGCAGACTCGACTACAACAACTCTTCCTCTTCTCATCATAGCCTCACCCCCTTTGTTGCATGTTCCCGGGGCGGGGTTTATGTAAATTTTAGGGTTAGTGATGTCACTAACCCGGGAGGAAGCTCGTGTAAGTATTAGTCGTTTGTTGTAGTCCTTAAAAAGCGATTTCTGTAAAACAAAATATCTCCCTTTGCTTTGAACTTTGAGCGTTGTAACTTTGCAGATGTTGTTTATGCTCAAACGGCAACATTACACACTAACTAAAGTTAGAAAAGTGAAATCATAATCAACCACCCCTTTAATAAGAATTTTGAAAATCCTAAGCATGAGCAATAGTAAATAAGCACCACTAACATCTGAACAGATGCTGTATTTGTTTTGACACAAATGAAATGGTCAAAGGCTACTCTGAGATAACGTCTAGCAGGCTAGCTGTGAAGCCCAACAAAATCTCACCCAAACACACTCCCTTAGAGTATCACACCTAGAGGAATTATGGGAAGAAGCACACAGGGTTTGAGAAGGGACAGAAATAACCCTTCACTTATTCAGACGCTCCGCTAATACTAATCTGCTAATACTCTCTGACAAGCTGCACGATTAACCTGGAATTGGAGGCGAAACTGTCTCGCTAAGAAAGCTCCTCGGATGAAAAAGAGAAATTTGTACTCGTTCAGAGTCATTATAAGAGTCATTATAAGTCTTTTTTTTTGCTAACAATTGATTCATTTATTGACCTCTTGTGACAGTGACATGTCTCTTCTCCTTGCAGCCATTTTGTGTGGAAGTGTCTTAACCTGAATTACTCTGGGTTAATGGGTTAATTGACTTTCTTGCATACAGGAGGACGTAACTTATGATTCTCCCTGTGTGGAAGACATTGCCTCCCTATCTCCTGCCATGTGTTCATGTACACCTACCCGACATCATATAACAAATTCTCTGGCTGAGCCAGTCTGCATAAAGTGAGCTTAATGAACTGTTAATGAGAGGTAAAATATGCTTGATTGTCCTGATAATAATGGCACACTGCCAAAAAAAAAAAAAAACTTTTTGCTAATTCTCATATATTTTCTTTATCCAGAAAAAACAGTCGACAAATCAGATTGAAGCTTGCAATTTTAAAAAGCTCTTGGCATTTTTTTTAATTTTTAATTTATTTATTTATATAGATATATCAAAATAAAATCACTATTGTGTTATGGCTTAGTGTGAGGATCAATACTCAAAGGCTGCGATTTAAATAAATATACACTGTGGGTTTCCAACAACTGAAGCATGGCACTTTTTATTTACAAACTTGCCTTTTTAATGATATTGTGTTTCCGTGTTTTTTTTTTTTTTTTTTAGCTGCTCTGTTCGTTTACAGTACTGCCACTCTGAGACTCTGAAACCAAAGATAATGAATTACAAGTGTGTAAATTAACATAGTGCCATGCTTCACTCGGAAACCTGCAGCGCATACATTTATTTGACGGCAAATTAGAATCATTTAAATTGTAAATAGTATTAGTAATAGTATACTATAAAATTACTTTTTGTTTTTTCCATTACTAAATTACTTTTTTTTTTATCTTACAGTACAGTAGTGCTTTAAAAATATTTATTATTTTTATTTAATAATAATGACAATAAAAATCATAATAATTATTCTATAGTCATATCTAATGAAAGTTTATACTTTTGAGTAAAACATGTCAGTAATAGGACATGCAACTCTGTTTATAAATTTGATAGCTTGTTTGATATGTTAGCATCTTCCTCTTTATTATACATTCAGGTTTATACAATAATGTCAGCATGAAATTATGATTCACCCTATCACTTTTATAAATGCATATTATAGATCTTATTGTGTACAATTCATCCATGAATATGTTTTCTTTTTTTGACCTTGTAATGTTTAATCAATGTCATACCTGGACCCTCGGGTGAAAAAGTCAGACTTCTCTGGTGTCGTACACAGGACTTCTCCAATAATTTAGTCACGACTCACTAAAACTCGACCCTGCAACCTGACGTTTATCTGCCTCCACTTTTGAGTGCAACACCCAATAAACAACAGATGCATTGAATCAAGTCCTGCCTTACCGTTTTTTTTTTTTTTTTCTTGATTACTATGCTGAAATATACTCTGCTATTTGTGCACTGGAAGAGCAACCGGCACCTTTGGCATACTATTTTAAATATTATTAGCTTGTATGCGAATACAAGGGTTAGCCATGGCAAAGAAAGCTGCACATAAAGGGAACCAGCATCTCTCCCTTCCTCTCAAACTCCTCCCTGTGTGCTGCAGTCACATGACTTTTTGTAGTGCAGTGAGTGTACACAATATTAATGCAGTGACTTAGTCCTCATAGAACTGAGACATTAGGGACAATGATGAACCTATGACTCTGACTGACATAATAATGGTGGTTCTCAGTATTTTGCTGAGCTAAAGGGAAATAGGGTGAAAAAATAGTGTATATGATAAATTAATTTGAAACCTGAAAAGTTGCATTGCTACATTCCCTGGATGGCAGCATGTACAAGCTTGCATTTTGTGTATGTACATGTTATGCTGCTGTTTGTAAAAAGGAAGAAACCAGAAAGCAGTGGAAATAACAGGCACATACAGAAGCAGATATAAACGCACGTCTCTCTTCTTTTTCTTTCAGACAGACAGAGGAGGTGGTTGTGTGAGGGGAGAGTGTGTGAGTGTGTGTGCGAGTAATGGCGGAGCAGCAGAGACAGCGTTCACTCTCCACGTCGGGAGAATCCCTATACCTGGTCCTGGGAGTTGATAAGAACACCGCACAAGAAGACATAAAGAAATCCTACAGGTGAGACACTCTGGATGGACATAAAAAGATTGTTACAACATTACCAATAAAAATAGTGGAGTAATTGCTCTGAATCTATTTTATTTTTATTTTACTTTACTCAAGAGGGATTGGGTAGGTAAACACAAATTTCGTTGTGTTAAGCACATTTGAGTTTTCAATTAAATCCACTAGAGGGTGACAGAACATTTTCCTCACTTCCTCTGTGTGTTCAGGATAACATTCGACATACTGCACAGGATGTACATTTTCTTTGTGCATGAATACCCAGATGACTGACTACATTTACCAACATTTGTTGTCAAATAATGCTTAATAGTATTTCACATACTATTTTTAAATAATAGTTGCCAGATAGTATACCATTCTGGTATAGCATAGCCATAGTTTCACATTAACACACCTAAAAGCAGATTGGCAGTGATGCCAGGAAAGATCATAGTTGCATTAATAAACGTTTCATTCTCATTTCTTCCCTTTTGGTTTGCAGGAAACTAGCTCTGAAATTCCACCCAGACAAGAACCCCGACAATCCAGAAGCGGTTGAGAAATTCAAAGAAATCAACAACGCTCATTCCATTTTATCAGACCCCACCAAACGCAACATCTATGACAAATACGGATCTCTGGGCCTTTACGTGGCAGAACAGTTTGGAGAGGAGAATGTTAACACATACTTTGTATTGTCCAGCTGGTGGGCCAAGGTTAGTCATACACACAAGCACACATACAAGATATATATATAGTAAGTAACATACACTACCTTTCAAAGGTTTGGGTCAGTAAGTTTTTTTTTTTTATTAGTTTTTTTATTCAGTAAGTGTGCATTAAATTGATCAAAAGTGACAGTAAATACATTTATGATGTTACACAAGATTTCTATTTGAATGCTGTTCTATTGAACTTTAGTCATCAAAGAATCCTGAAAAATTATTTTAACATTGATAATAATAAGCATTTTTTTTGAGCAGCAAATCAGCAGATTAGAATGATTTCTGATGGATCACGTGACACTGAAGACTGGAGTAATGATGATGAAATTACTAACTTGCATTTTAAAATATAAATTGTAATAATATTTCACAATATTACTGTTTGACTGTATTTTTGAGCATATAAATGCAGTCTTGGTGAGCACAAGAGACCTCTGACCCTAAACATTTGAACCATGGTGTAAATACTAAATGTATGTGCATCCTGTTATTTCTGTTGAATTCTTTTTTCCCCTCTTGACAGGCATTGTTTATATTCTGCGGTGTGGCCACGGGCTGCTACTTCTGCTGCTGTCTGTGCTGCTGTTGTAACTGCTGCTGTGGGAAGTGTAAACCTCATCCTCCGCAGTCAGATGAGCCGGATTTCTATGTGTCTCCTGAAGACTTGGAAGCTCAGATGCAGTCTGATGAGAGAGGTGAGACACACTGACTCGCTCATTCATTCACAATAGTCAAATTAACATGGTTTCAAGACAACATGAAATCAAAATAGAAGTTTTGTGGCTATTAGTCCATGTGTGTATTTTTGAGATCATACATAGGCTAGTGTATTTCTAAAAGTCTAATAAAAGTTCTCTATAATGAGACTGTCTCCTCCCACCAATACCACCTGACACTGACAACCAATAGCAAGTAGCATATTGTGGTTTGGTGACTTAGGACCAGACTCATTAAACAGGGCAAATTAGCGTGACAGCGCAATTCCAAAAAAGCGGTGATGGGAGTGGAAAGTTCTGCGCGTGATCTGCTGACGATGCACAAATTAAAGAACACAGACGCAGCTGGATCATTTCCATAATGACCAACGCAGTGTACCAAGTACGGCAGGTATTTTTGCCGGTAAATAATGGCTCAAAAAACAGTAAATTGACTAGCGCGAACTTAGTAAATCACCTTGCACAGTGCTCGAAGTGGGGCGGTACTCACCGGTACGCAGTACCGGCACTTCTACATTTTACTCTTAAGCGTACCTGCACTTTTTCTTGCATACCGCTACTTCTCGCATGTAGCCGGTACTCTACTGACAGAAAAAGCGTGACGGCCGTTTAACCCCTTATTTACACTGCACACATCTGTGGCGCGTTACGGCTGCGAAACGGCTACCGGAGCTGATCACGGCCACCGCACGCGTGAGCAGCGCGTATTTTTTTCGGCTTGGGTTAATCAATGAGTGCATTCACACCGCGAGGAGGAGCGTCGCGTGAGCAGCAGTGAAGCCGCAGCGGGGGTTCGGCGCCGAGTCTATTGTTGTGCGCTACTCACGGCATTTAAAGTGAAAGCAAAGCACTTTTGATGGAGAAAATAAATACGATTTCACACAAAAAGTGCCCAAAATGCACAGAATTTGCATGTCTAATGTGTTTTAACAAGAACTGGAGTAGGCTAAAAGAAAATGAAGATTCAAAAATATTTATACAAGATTTAGCCATTTAAACTTGTCTTAATTATTCAGTTTGGGTACCGTAAAACTATGTTTTATTAATAAATAAAACGAGCAAACTAGTCAGAATATAGGCTTTCTTTTAGTTTATGTAATAGCCTACACAGACATGCCCAAATCAAACCCGAGTTTAATTTTTTTTTATGTTTGCTGTCTTGTAAACATATGACTGAAAAGACAATATCAGAGCTCTTTTCTTGGTTGTTTTTGTTGTTTACCATTTACATGTAATTGTTGTATACCTCCCATCTTAACAAACTTCAAGAATCAAGTTTATTAATGACCAACTTCTAAAAAGAGAATGTTTCTTTGTAAATAAATGCGTGCACACACGCACGCACACACACGACTTGTTTAAATAGGCCTACATTTATGTTGTTGTTAATAAATAACAATAAATTGTTGTTGTACCAGCAATATTTCCAGTTTTGTTTTTCACTGTAGAAATTTCAAATGTCATGATTTGCCAATGCAAGAGAGTACCGGCACCTTTTCCCCCCACTTCAAGCACTGACCTTGCACGATTCATTTAAATTCTCTCCTCCCATAAATGTTGCGTCTGTAAGTGAAATTCCTACAAATGCATGTGCAATAACTGTGCCCATGCCTTTTCAGCATTAATTTTTCACTGCCTGTCTTTAGTAAATCCGGACAGTAGCTTTTTAACGCCAAAAGTGGGTTTGCGCTGGCACAAGCTGTTAGTTAATCTGGCCCTTAATGTTTTTTTTTATATGTATTTTTTTTTTTTATTACTGTTTATTTCTATGTTTAGTCATACAAATAAAAAAATAACAAGGAATGTAGTTCTGCAGGATATTCAATAAATTCTATTTTATTAAAATGTCAGTATATGTAAAATTATAGTAAAGATGATTTAAAATAATGTTTGATTTTTTTAACTTGTTAATTATTAAAACATTACATATAGCAACAATGCAGTTAATCAACACTAATAATTTAACTGTTGAATCTAATCTTTAGCAAATATCAATAATATTATTATGATGTTGTCATACCTACATTCATAGCATTTGAAACTGGTTGATTTGAATTTTTTAGTGTTTTAATTTTTATTTATTTAATTTTTGACCAAATTGGAAATAATTTTAATATCAGCCATTTATTGGTTACTGGCTATAGCATTAATATTTATCAATTTATTGGTATCAGACAGAATTTTAATATTGGTTCTTCTCAAGTTTAGTGGTCTTAAACTAAATACTATTCATTTTTTTGTTTGTTTTGTTTTTTTAAACGCCTTCAATATTCCCCCTCCCCTACTTCCTGTTTCAAAAGGAAATGCATCTGGAAATAAAACTACGTTTATCAAACAATTTCATTGGGTTTTAATAAATGTCCCTGGCACTACTGTACACAATTCATTGCATGTTGTTGTAAAGGAATAACGTTTAGTTTCATTCTCTTTCGGCACGATGTGATAATTTTATCTGCTTCTGAAATGAACTTTTCTTTTCTGCTGGCATAACCAAGGCCGCGCAGGTAGGTCAATAGTATCATTGGTTTCAATCAAATCCTAATGGATAAAATCAATTCCCGCCCAACATTATTGCCTGTTTCACTTACAATTGCAGTTAAATGCCTTCAAAGGTCCGTTCAGCATTTGATGTGGCTTCCTGGCATTTAAAATCTTGCCTGAAATGCTTATCAACAGGGTTCAGTTTGGGCTATTAGCTGTTCATATTATAAAGTAGGTGTCTGTTTCCACAGATGGCAGCAGCCCCATCGTGATGCAGCCGTCCTCTGCCACAGAGACCACTCAGCTGACTGCAGACTCTTACCACACCAGCTACCGGACAGACGCCAGCTATTAAATCCTCCCTCGCTCTCTCACATGTGAGACCACCATCCCCGGAAGAGGTCTCTGTGGGGAATGAGTGATCCAGAGGAAGAGGATGAGGGGGTTAGTTAGTTCCAGATCTTCTGTTGAAAAACCTGAAATGCTCCACTGTACAGGGCAAAAAGCGAGTTGTTATTTGTATCTGCCTTTTACCTCTATAGTCCCCAAACCTACTTATATTCAACACACACACACACAAGGACTTTCTTACAGTGTCCATACAGTCTTCCTGCTTTGATCCATGCTTCATCTTTCACACTGCATTTGTCTACATGATCAGTGAAGATAATTTTTATCAATCCTATTTGAGAATTAATTCGTAACAACAGGACATACACACATATTTTTGTATGTTTTAATGTATTCAGCTATGGTAATGGCCAATGAAGCTGGTGTTACACCAACAGACTAGAAACAACTTGATAACGGTTGAAGTTGTCAAATCATTCAAACACTACCATTCAAAAGCTTGGGTTCAGTAAAAAAAAACTTTTAGGAATTAATTCTTTTATTCAGCAATGATGAATTAAATTGATCAAAAGTGACATTTATAATGTTACAAAGATTTCTATATCTCAAATAAATTCTATTTTAAATTCTTGTCTTTTGAACTTTCTATTAATCAAAGAATCCTCAAAAAACCTTAAAATATTAAGCAGCACAACTGTTTTCTGAAGGATCATGTGACATTGAAGACTGGAGTAATGATGATCACTAGAATAAAAAACATTATTAAATATATTAAAACAGAAAACGGTTGTTTTACATTGTAATAATAATTCACTTTTTTCTGAGTTTTTAATCAAAGAAATGCTGCCTTGGTGAGAACATTTAAAAAATATTACCGATCCCAAACTTTTCAAAAGTTATTGCCCTTTCCATGCATATGATTAGCACCGACCTCACAATCACATCATAAACATTGTCCTGGGTCGTTTATATATTTTCACATTCTGAACAGTGTTTATGTCTTTGACAAAAATGTTCTGCTCATGTTATGGACTAGTAACAAAGAGACCTGTGCCATTTTTAAGCAAAAGTCACAATATATGTTATATTCCTTCAGATTAAAGTTTCAAGTGTTTTGTTACATCAACAGGAAAGAGTTTTCAGTAGTACACATACATTTATATTTTTTAAAACAGGAAAGCTGTGTAGTGTAGTCACTGAGGACACGATTGAGGAAACATTGCTGTGTCATGCTGTGAATGTTGATGTGAGACGGTTATGTGTTAATGGCATCCGGTGGACATGTACTGTCAAATATAATCATGCAGTGCTTAGCTATTACTTAATATCAGCCACATGTCTTACTGTGGTATGTGTGTGTGTGTGTGTGGTCACTGGAACAGGAGATTGGGATTGTCCGATACATCCTGAGGCCCTGTCCCAAATGGCGCACTTCATGCGCACTTAAATTGCGTGTGCTCGCCGAGTCTACGAGTCCGTAGGCCGTCCCATTTAGCATTTTAACGCTCTGAAGTGTGCTCAGCAGCGCCCCCTTTGTACCCTTGAAGCGGTCTTCCGCGAAGCCCGCATAGATACAGGCTCCACGCACTTTAACTACCCAGGAATCCTTGCGAAAGGCCAATCAGACAACGGATGGGAGGAGATTTCGCTTACGGACAATTGTTAACATGGCTGAGAAGAAAATATTTAAGTGTAATTATCATTACGGTTTTTATGACAAGTTTATACAAACATTATGATCATCGACCAGTGGTTGATGTCTCAAACATAGGCTAATAATAGCGAGCTGAATAAGACGATCGCATTATGATTCATTAAATAAATAGAACAGAATGTCAGGGCTTTACTGAGTCATATGTAAACACAACAACAATAGGCAGCATATTTCCCCGAACCTGTAGCTCCTGTCCATAACAACAATCAGACCGTCTTCCTGTTTCCGGCGTGACGATCGAGTCTGTCCCAAAAATACCTCTCAATGCGGACTCGCGCTAAGGGCCCTATAGGTCTGCACTACATGACGTCACCGAAGTGTGGACTCTGAGGAAGTCCACAAGTCCGGAGTGTGCCATTTGGGACAGGGCCTGAGACTGTGCCAGGTTATTTATTGTACATGTGTTTTGTATTTCCATCTGTATTCTTAAAGGGATAGTTCACCCGGAAATGAAAATTGTCATTTACTCACGCTCAAGTTGTTCCAAACCTGTATGAGTTTCTTTCTTCTGTTGAACAAAAAATAAGATATTTTAAAGAATATGGGTAACCAAACAGTTTCTGGTCCCCATTGACTTCCGTATGAAAAATATATATATATTAATGGCAGTCAATTTAAGGCTTTGCTAAGTTAAAGGGTTGCGCTAGCATTATTGTTTTGCATTCCTCAGGTTTGTGGTTTCAGAGGACAGACAGTTAGATTAAATTCAAGCACAGGAGGATTGTGGGTAAAGGCATTCATTGCATAATTCATGTTAACTTATGTTTCCCATATAATTTAGAAACATTAAGTTAACTGACTAATTGATTCTTTAGTTTCACACTGACCCAAAGTTGTTTTACTAATGAAACATTTTAGTAAGATACATTTGTGAACAACTGTAGTTCTAGACATGGACGTGGCCATATTGTATTTTGTTTTGGCTGTAATTGTACCCATAATTTGATCTTGATCCCTAGTGCCTGGTTTAATGTAATCAGGTCTACATAATATTGTACTCTAGGTAATACACATTAACAGTATTATTACTGTTATTATGCCAAAAAATATAACTCTGTGATCTGTATCCTTCAGGGTATAATAGTTCATGCTCACTGGTTTTGATCATATCATTCATACACGATTCAGGGTTCCCACACTCCTGGAAAACCTGGGTTTAAACCTGGGAAGTTTAAATTTGTGACTTGGAATGTAGAAAATAAGTAAACTTCATGAGCTACACTCTTTGTAAATTTTACAAAGCCTTATCTAGTAATCATGGGTGAATGGAAAGGTCATGGAAAAATCATTGTTTGAAAGTTTTGGGAACCCTGACACTTGCAATCTCTCTGAATGCATGCATTTTAATTTTGATAGGAGTGAACATGCTATGAAAGCTTGTTTCTGCCAAGAAAACAAGATGACATCTCGCAAATGTGAGTGAAAAAGTCCGATTTGTGAGATAAAAAGTGTCAATTACCTTTTTTATTCAGTGGCGGAAACGAGCTTCCATAGTATACAGACTTCAAAGTAGGAAAACCTCATTTCTGTTTTAGACACTATATGTGTGTGTTTGTGTGTGTGCTGTTTAAAACTAAGCTCTGAGTTTAATCACTGTACCACCATCTATGTACTGTGTTCAGTTGTCATTTCTTTAAGCTGTATAGCTGTCACTGTTGGGCATGTGTATTTTAAACATTCATTTACGCACTTGAAAGAGGATGTGCAGAAAATTTGTGTAATTTACCCCAAATGTGTATGTTTTATTTGTTTAGGTTCACATTGTGGATATTTCATTGGTGTCTAGATGTATCTCATAGTTTGTTTTTTGTAATTAATTTATGTCTGAAGCTTTAGGCACTGGCAGATTATATTAGTGATCATGTTTCTAAACATTTCTAAAACTGAACTGTGCACAATGTGTAACGTTTTTTATTTGCAAAATATTATTTCTCAACACAAGCTCCACTGTAACACAGATTATCTATCTTTGGTTTTAATTATCCCAGTTTTCCTGTCCAAGTATTTGTTAATGATCATAAATAAAAAAACATTCATCAGATATTGATCCTGTTGCTTCCAGTCGGAGAACGGATGGAGCCTCGCGTCTGAGTGCAACACCTAAACAGAATCATGTTATAAATGAAGGAAATAGTGGTGATGAGAAACAAGATTTTATTTTCCTGTTTTTAATAAATTACGTAGTTCAATATGTGTACGCGAAAATGACCATTGTACAGAATTATGTTGCGCATTCTGGATCAAATCAGCTGAAATTGTTGTAGCATGAATATATTGTGTCAGAGATATGTAACATGGATATTTGGTCTGAATTACAACTGTAAAATAAATGTGAAAGGAAGCTTAAAAAGTATCTCTGGTGTTTGTGTGTATTTGTGCAAAGCCAATGATCTGCTAAATAAAGCGCTAATGTTGCTTTTGACACTTACAGGGATGCAATAAATAAATCTTAATTCAATTAAAAGTTAGAATATCAAGCCAAGAACATATTGAAGTGAAAGTAAGAAAAGTATGTATTCAAGTAAAATGTTTTTTAAAAAGTCTGAACTTTGACACAGTGTCGTCCCATTGGCTTTTATTGTATGGACGAAAGCAGTTGAAACTCAAATACACCCGTACAAGCATAGATGTTTCTGTGTTAAAAGATTCAGGTACACTTCATAAACATTCTTTCCTCTAATGCTGTTGCTATTCTGGTATTATTTACTTTGTTGGCTGGTTTTAAGACTCGGGACATGAATGATTGGAGTAACAGGAGAAAGGGCATCATCTCTATTTCCCAGCATTCCACTGGCTGCCTGAAATGGGCACAACTGATCAAGGCTAGGGTGTGTCACAGTGAGCCAGCAAGAAACCAGACACCTTCCCCTTCTGGCACATGCACACATTTCCAGCTGCAAACCAACACAGGCCCCCATCGTCCTGTTCGAGCACTGGGGCAGAGCGACTGCCCTCTGCCTCGAGAGACTGGAAATCCACATAAGAACAGCACAGAGACATGGAGACGGTGGCGTCTCATCTCCTCAGCTGTGCTTTCGCTCTCCTAACTTAGTTTCCCAGTGAGTGTGGGGTCAGCGGGGGCACGCGGCCATGTCTCTTCCACTGGATATACGCTCTGACCACAAAGACCCCTCGATGGGGACGCTGGAGAAACAACTCATCTGTCCCATCTGCCTGGACGTGTTTACGAAACCAGTCGTTATTCTGCCCTGTCTGCACAACCTCTGCCGCAAGTGTGCCAATGAACTGTACCAGGTGTGTACCATGTGCCAAGAGGAGGATGGTTTATGTGTGGATGTAGGAACATTTTGTGTTACCCTTATGAAAAATAAGTATACTTCAATTTCATTTTATGAAGTATACTTAGGTAAAGTTCAAGTGTATTTTAAGTATACTTTATGTAAGCTAAGTACACTATTATCAATGCACTAGAAGTATACTGTTTCAATACTACTTGGGAATAAATTGGCCCACTTTTTAATGTATAAAAGTAATGTATAAAACTTTTAATGACACAACTACGTTTTTCGTTTGTACTGCAACTATACTTCAAGTGTACTTATTATAAGTATACAGATAGTTTACAGAAGTCAAATACTTGTAGCATATTTTTTAGTTTATGAAAGAACACTTTGAAGTATACTCTCAGTAAACTACTAGTTTACTGTAGTAGTTTTATACTGCAAGTATACTTGTACGTTTTCTTTAAGTGAACAACATCATACTTGTAGATTTCTCATTATACATTATATTTGCTTTTCATGTATATTACTATGTTCCTATATTATTATTTTTTTATACTTGAAATATACCTTTAACTCTCTTCCCATTTTAAAAACATTTTATTCGCTTCATGTTTCATTTTTATCAACACTTCAATGTATGTTTCATAAAAAAAAGCAATATTGTAAACAAAAAGCTAAATCTGAATCCCCAGATGGGATTCAGAACGATGATCAAAACACAGATGGAGTAGATCAAGTCCATCAACACCCCAAAAGCTTCACAGTTATTATTAACCCTTCCTGGTTTGACTTTCTTATTTTTAGTTTCAAAGAAATATACTAATAGCACACTTGAAAAAAATTATTTTTCATAAGGGTAACCATCAATGCACAAGTACATTTTCAAGCCTTTGTTAAGATGATAAATTCTCAAAATAGGATTTCTCAAAAAAAGGATCCTTTCCATTGCTCCATTGCACAAAAAGTTCTTCGGATTATTACAATATTTTTCAGATTAAGAGTGTACACAGACAGTTCATCTGTACATGACATGAGGTGTCAGTTTCTTTCATAAACCATAGTCTTTTCTATGAGCTAAAATGCTATTTGCTAAGACCTATGGATGGTCAATAACATGTAAAGGTGCTTGTATACACATGCACGGAGTAACTGACATGACTGCAGTAAACAGACAGCTTTCTAGACACCTGTCATGCTAATATGTGAAACCCAACAGGTGCAGATTGTAAATGTTTAAACTCAATCCCCAGCCTGAGATCTGGGGTATAAATATAGGTGATGGCCTACATTTGATGCATTTGAGCCGTCAGGCGTTTAGCGCTCATGCAATGCACAATGGATGTATTGATATGAAAAGAAAGTCCTTAGTAATGCTAAATGTTTGGCCTCCATAATCCTTCTCCTCTGCACCTAACTGAAGTTTGATACCTCGCCAGTCTTCCATTACACTTCCACATATAGGCAAAGGTTAAACGTCATGAGTAAGTTGGGAAAGTGGTCCGAAGGAACGCTAAAAACACTTGTTAATCTCTTCTCCTCTAAGAACCACTGTTGGACAAAATTTTGAATTTAAGAACTAGAATTTTAAATTAAGAGAGAGTTAAATTTTTAATTAATTATGCTCAGGAGGTTAAATTAAAATCTGAATTGGATTATTAGAAAGTGAAATTTTGTTAATTGCAGTTCAGAGAAATTCATCAGATAATGTCATTCAGGGAAATGCATGAACTCCATATGCATGGTCCATAAATCTGTAAAGAATATAAAAAAAAATTTTATAAAAGAAAATGAAAAAAAGATCCAAATCACTTTCACAAACATTAGTTCAACAACCTAAATTACACTTATTGGGGTCATATGATTTTTTTTTTTTTATTCCACTTCCTTAAAACTGCAGTCCGTAACTTTTGCCGTTCTAGCGGTTAATAAACAGAACTCCATGCGTCTTGCGGAACAACATAGTAGCCGGAGCTATTCTTCTCTGTTTATGTCTATGATGAGTCACGCAGGTACTAAGCTACTCCGCAGCGTTGCCGACCCAACCAGTCTAAAATAGTCCGAACATTTACACTTACAGGTGTACCATAGTGAATCAGGATAAGACAAAAACACGGTTTGGAAAGGATTTCTGATGTAATTGCTTATTATATACATTTTGTAAATTTTGAACACAAAAAAAAAAGCTTTAAAATTCAAATCTGATTTGCAGTTCACAGTTCACATACACTTGCCTTTTGACCTCTCGGAGTGAGTGCTGTGTCACTTTAAAACTGGTGAGATCAGTCTCAAACTCCTCTGTTTACAATCTACAATGTGGACTGTATTACACAGTTACTAGATTACAGACATATGGGTTAACACATTTCCAGACAGCAATTCTGGAACAGGACACACAGAACAAAACGCAGATTCACACAACCACAGAATTCAGACCATAGAGTAAGATCATCTTACCCTTGAAGAACACACGGTGCATCTCTAGAGAGGTACATGAGAGTCCAATTAATCTAACAAAGTGATGATGTAATTTAGTCCAGTTAACCATCCTAGCCGTTTATTTTTTATATCTTCCTTAAAAAGAATTGATACACAAATCCTGCTGACAGCTGAAGAACAGCATGCTGAGTAAGATGTGCAGCCATCTCTCTTCCAGGTTGGAATTGGAGGCCGTTTCCGTTGCCCTTCCTGTCGGCGTGAGGTTGTCTTGGACCGTCATGGAGTTTATGGACTTCAGCGCAATTTACTTGTGGAGAACATTATTGATGTTTACAAGCAGGAACTGCAGGAGTCTGAAAGGTCAGGTCAGGAGTGTATTGATTGAATAACTTTTGTCAACAGAGATGATCTAGTAAATAATTCGATTTTTTTTTTTGTAATAGTTTTTTTTAAATGGGACAAATTATTGAACCTTTATATAAAAAATTACAACAAAGAAGTAAATACTGTAAGTTGGTGTATGTTTTTTTTGTTTAGTATTATATTTGATACTGTCACAGTGTCTGGTTTATGTTCCTTGGGTCACCACTAGATGTCCTCCTTCCCCACGGTGTCCATCACACTCTTGAACTACATCCCCCATGATCCTTGTCTTTTCATTGCACTCAGCTGTCTCTTATCACTGATTATTGCACTCAGCCTGTTCCCCATTAGCATTGTCATTTCCCTGTGTATATAACCCTGTCTGTTTCAGTATGTGTCACGGAGTCCTTGTTTGTATCACACCACTTCTTAGGTCGGTTGTTGACTGTGTCTTGTTTTGTTCTTGTGTTGGATTGCTTCTTTGGATTTTGACCTCTGCATGGACTGGATTATGATGTAACGGATTGGCCCACAATAAATATACTGCGCTTGGATCTTCTCTGTCTCCTTGAGTGTGGATCGTGACAGAGCCTGTTCCAGCGCCAGAGCCGGTGTTTGTTTCTGTGTTTGTTTCTGTTCTTGTGGCTGTTATAGTTTTTGTGTCTGATCCTGAGCCGGTGTCGGTGTCTGATCCTGAGCCGGTGTCGGTGTCTGATCCTGAGCCGGTGTCGGTGTCTGATCCTGAGCCGGTGTCGGTGTCTGATCCTGAGCCGGTATCACTGCCCTGGCCGCCCGAGGGGTCTTCTCCGCCCTGGCCGCCCGATGGGTCGTCTTCACCACCCTGGCCGCCCGATGGGTCGTCTTCACCGCCCTGGCCGCCCAAGGGGTCGTCTTCACCGCCCTGGCCGCCCGATGGGTCGTCTTCACCGCCCTGGCCGCCCGATGGGTCGTCTTCACCGCCGTGGCCGCCAGAGTGGTCGTCTTCGCCCTGGTCGTCCAAAGGACCTGTCCCGTCCCGGCCGCCTGCACTGCCTGATTCGCCCTGGCCGCCAGATGGACTGTCGTTTCCACCCTGGCCGCCTGAAGGGTATTCACCGCCCTGGCCGCCCGAGGGAAAGTCTCCGCCCTGGCCGCCCGAGGGAAAGTCTCCGCCCTGGCCGCCCGAGGGAAAGTCTCCGCCCTGGCCGCCCGAGGGAAAGTCTCCGCCCTGGCCGCCCGAGGGAAATTCTCCGCCCTGGCCGCCCGAGGGAAATTCTCCGCCCTGGCCGCCCGAGGGAAAGTCTCCGCCCTGGCCGCCCGAGGGAAAGTCTCTGTCCTGGCCGCCCGAGGGACTGTCGTCTCCGCCCTGGCCGCCAGATGAACTGTCACTCCCTGTCCCCGTTTCTCTCCATGGACCTGGCCCCCCATCCCTCCCCCTGATCCTCCACCAGTCCACCTCCCGCCTGGACACTTGTTTGTCTGTCACGTCTTGGAGCGTCTGGTAGCCGCTCCGTAGAGGGGGGGTTATGTCACAGTGTCTGGTTTATGTTCCTTGGGTCACCACTAGATGTCCTCCTTCCCCACGGTGTCCATCACACTCTTGAACTACATCCCCCATGATCCTTGTCTTTTCATTGCACTCAGCTGTCTCTTATCACTGATTATTGCACTCAGCCTGTTCCCCATTAGCATTGTCATTTCCCTGTGTATATAACCCTGTCTGTTTCAGTATGTGTCACGGAGTCCTTGTTTGTATCACACCACTTCTTAGGTCGGTTGTTGACTGTGTCTTGTTTTGTTCTTGTGTTGGATTGCTTCTTTGGATTTTGACCTCTGCATGGACTGGATTATGATGTAACGGATTGGCCCACAATAAATATACTGCGCTTGGATCTTCTCTGTCTCCTTGAGTGTGGATCGTGACAGATACATCAGTCTTTTATGGCTCGTTTGTATGATATAGGATATAATCAGAGGTGGACAGTGACAATACATTTACTTGAGTATCTGTACTTTACTTGAGAATAATTTTTTTCTGGAAACTTTTTACTTTAACTTCACTACATTTCAAAGACAAATATCGTACATTTTACTCCACTACAATTCTGTCAAGGACCTTTAGTAGAAAGTAGTAACGTCGGACAGACGTTTTGGTTGCAGGGGTTGCATTTTGGTTGGAAATGAAAGTTGGGTTGACGTCAGAACCCGACTGATGTTGGTTTCTGACGTCAACCCGATTTTCATTTTCAACCACAATACAACGTCTGACCAACGTTGGAGATTAATGTCAGATTTTTAGAGCACAGAATTTCGCTGTCAACTCACATTTTAATTTTTTTAGATATTGGATGATCAAGTAAACATAAGTTGCTTTGGTCAAGTAAATGTTTATAAAAATCAAATAAGAAAAAAACTTTCACAGAAAAATGACACCTGAAGAGGGACATTTTTGCAATTAAAAGATCTTTTAATTGTGCTATAAAAAAGTATAAACTGTCAATCAGATAACAGAAGGCATGGAGTAGATTGTGTAAACAGGTTTTTCAGCATCGTTTTAATCATTTTGATCATTAGTGGCTATATAAATGTGTGTTTGAGCTGTTTTAACTGAAAGCAACTTAAAACTTGATTTATCTTAAAATATGTCCGTGCTATTGTTTTTTCTCAAGATGCACATCAGTATTTTCTTTCTTTTTTCTTTTATAAGGCACGTTTATAAATTCTGCTTAAATGCCGCAATTGAACTAAGGCCTAATCCTGGCTTAATCTAAACCCTGTCTAAATAAAAGATTCTGGTTAATATATAGCCCCTTCTAGTGACACTTTGGTTGTCGGTATATTAAACACTTTGACTTGATCTTGAATTTAAATCAGTGTGTTTCTAGCTCTAGGCCTCCACCACCAAAGCCTCTTCCACAGTTTAACTGTGCAGACCATGAAGATGAGAAGCTTAATATTTATTGCATCACGTGTCAGGTGCCCACCTGCTCTCTCTGTAAGGTGTTTGGGGCACACAAGAACTGCCAAGTAGTTCCCCTGCCTGATGTTTACCTGCAAGAGAAGGTATGGCCTATATTTGTTTCATCGTGTTACATCTTTACACCATTCAGAACAATTCATTAATTTCACTTCTTGTAGGCTGAACTAAATGACAGAGTTGCTTCTTTGGTTGCCACAAATGAACGTGTTCAGTCATTTGTTAATGAACTAGAGGCACTCTGCAGGAACATAGAGGTTCGTGTGGATCTTTCTGAAGAAATGACTTGCAATGAAACATCAAAAAAGACATTTAACAACAAACAGATTATCCATTAATGCTTACAATGCCCATTTGACAGGAAAACAGCAGGATTCAGAAACAGATTCTGTGTAAGAAGTTTGATCGCATGTCTGCCATTCTGGAGGAACGTCGTAAGATCATGACCCAACAAATCACTTCTGAGCAGAAAGAAAAGAGTGGCTGGACCCAATCTTTACTGCAAACCTACAGTGAGCATGTGGACACAAACTCAAAGTTGATCCAGGAAGCCCAGAATGCCATAGAAGAGCCAGAGATGGCTTCTTTTGTCCAGGTGTTATATCTTTTGTTTGGGGCTCCTCAGTAATCCTCCATTTTGAATGTCAAGCATGCAAAGTTTGATATATATATATTTTTTATCTCTTCCTAATAGATCTCAAAAGATCTTATTGTGAAGTAAGTCTCATCTTTTTAGCAAATTTAGCATCAGTTAGATTGTTCAGAAGATTCATCTAACAATCAACAGTATCTGTCATTTTCTCTGAAGGGTTGGTGAAGCATCTAATTGCTTCACTCTGGAGACCCTGGATCCTGATTATGAGAACATGAATCACTACAAAGTGGATTTCGATGCAGAAGAGAGAGTTCTGCACCAGATGGATTTCTTGGAGAGTGAGCATCAGACACCCAATAGATTAACTAATATCCTTTATTTTTAAAACTCCTCTGATTAATGCTGGAAACTTTACAGTTGAAGAAGAGGTGGAGGAAACGCCCGATGAACAAGAGTCAGAACCTGAATCTGAACCCGAACCAGTTCTGACACCAGAACCTGACCCTGAACCAGATCAGGATCTGAAATCAGAGGCTTCTGAGATGACAAATCCAACACCGGAGACACCGGAGACACCGGAGGACAATTGGGAACAAGAAGGTGGCTGTGGAGACATCAGAAAAGAGGCTGTTTGTGAGAAGAATAGCTTAAGCACTTCACAGGTATACATTCATCTCCTAGTATGTCCATCTGGTCACCGTGATTTTGCCAAGTAAGACATGTTCCTAGATCAACATATTTTGATACCCCTACCCATAACTTTTCCTTAAAATCAGAGGGAAATGATAGGTGAATAACACTGATGTAGAAGCACGGTTGTAAGCCTAAACTTGACATAAACTGTAAACTTGTCCCTCAAACCTGATTGGTTGATTGAAATGTTATTCCAGAATCAACAAAGATGTTGATCCAGTAACATGTTGTAGTTGGTGGAATCACATTCACCGTGTTGGTCTACAACTTCAGTCAAAGTTTTCAAGAACGTTTTCTGCACATTTCAATAACTTAAAGACATAATAAACACCATCATCTGTGGTTTTTGATCTCATTCCCAGTCATACTGCAATTGACATATGTCAGTGATAATACTTTTCCATCTTTCCTCAGGTTGTCACTCTAGCCCTTTATTTCCTGGCCTTTCTGGTCATCCTACAGCGAATATGGGGAAGCATTCAGTGCCTTACTTGTATATAGCAGAGGTGAAGAGACAGTCTAATAAAGCTCATGTTATTTTGAATAGCAATAAAAATCAAAGCCAAAGATTTGTGTTTAAATTGAGGAAGGTTTAAGATAAGACTTTTAAGGTAAAATGTCTCTATGCTCATGCATGAAAATAAAGTCACTTTACCTAATTTTCTGCAGACTGGCAAACCTGTGAGCTCCGCTCTAGAAGGACTGAGCCCTCCAGGTCAGCAGTGAGCCGATTCATCTCTGATTCTCCTTCTCCTGGTTCATTGCACCTACCAATAAGAAGTGACCCTTCTGCTCAAAGCAAGAATGATGACAGAAAGGGGTCTATGGACCATCTCCTCCATTTGGTTCTTGACAAAACCTTCCCTGTGTTTGTTCAAATAATTAAAACATCATGTCTACTTATTTTTGGTTTTGTTTTTTCGTTCAATAACTCTCTTGCAATAATAGTCAATGACAATTCTCCAATTCTCACCATTTGTTACCGTAGTGCTTCAAGGCAATATATTACCTTGAGTTCCCATCTCCCACCCTAGGTTGTCATGAGATGAATGGATGAAATGTTTTTTTACAGTAGTGTTATATTCAATAAAAGGCTTTTCTTATCTGTTGATGAATTTGTTTGTATAAATAGTGTAATCCTAAGAGTTTCTGGCTTCAACTGTCAATGTTTGTTTGGATTGACTGCCGCTTTGAGCCGTGCGTTATGTAAAATCGACAAAAATAGCCCAGAAAATCACTGTCATAACAAATACAAAAACAACATATTGTGCACACGAATTAAAAACTCCTTCACAATTTATTAACTATTAGTTCCCTCATTTTAGTTAAATTGTCGATTTAACTAAATTAAATTGAGGGAACTAATTAGTACAACATGGCCATAATTTCGCAAAAACGAGATAATTAATTAATAAAACATGGCCACGATCAAGTCGTGAGAATGAATTCTTATGTGGCCACAATATTTATTCTTACTTCCGCATGTCGTGTCAGGGCTTGGCATGAAACACAAGTTGTGATAGTCTTTTCTTCCGTATTGTGAAATTATATCTGAGTGAAATCTGAAATTGCTTCTCAAACAAGAAAAAATTTAACACCGGACTTGATTTTGTTCACCGGTAATTGATTAGATTTGGATGGTTGTCGTTTGCTATTGCTGTAATGTCATGTGAGTGACAGGTTGTCCCGTCCTCACGCCAGTAAACACATCATGAGAGAAGAGGAGAGAGGTGCTTCTCAATATCCCTCCTGGTTTCCATCCTATGACCCGGAAACCAATCGAGCTCAGCCATCTTGAAGGACATCTCAATTCTCTAATTGCACCGTGAGGAACGAGGATTGAGGAAGCTTCCAGAGGAGCTATGAGCGAGGAAACACATCTGTGGAAGTTTTTTTTTTGTCAAGAAACCTGACGCATGTAGGCTATAAATTCTCCTCCTCCTTCACATCTGTCACAATAATTTTTATTTATGCTTTACCTTTGCAGTTTAAATAAATCATATATCACAAATATAGCAACAGGGCATCTTGCTTGTTATTATTTATTAATTTCTTAAATAACCACACTTTAACAACATCAGGGCAGATCCTTTGAGCGCAGCTGATGACGTGACACTCGAGTGATCAAGGATATTCCAATATAGCCTACAAGTAATAAGGTTTTCTTTCCTTGCAGCCTTCCCGAAAATGAGGATGGACAAATAAGAATTCAGAAGCACCCCATATGTCACTCCAAGAGGGAGGGGAATTTTGATTAAAGATTACAAAGAAGAGCACATTATTATTAGGCAATTTTTTAAAATAATGATGTGCACCAATAAATAATTTATAATAAACACTGCAACATTCCATACAAATAAGAATGGTTATTGATTTCATCGTGACTTTAAAGTCGGTGAGCTGTTGATTCGAGATTCGCTTTAACCGAATCAGTTTGATTCGTGAACGAATCACGGCTTTGTCGAGCCTTTATCGCATATCGCTGATGCTCTGTAGAACAAAAGAATTGTCAAGACACATAATTTGATGAATAATTCAAATAATACTCATATAGGCTACTGTCCTCTTATAACCACAGTTTAATAGCCTACGTGCAATCTCTGGTATTCGGTTTGTTTTATAGAAATGGCATGCTTATCTTAAGTAATTATATGCTAGATTTTCCAAAAAAAAAACAAAAAAAAAAACAGCAGTAATGGGCTAATAGTGTTTTTCACAGCTAATTTGTTGATCGCAGGAAAAAGGACGCTAGTAGACGTCATCTCAAGGCGCCGGAAAGAAAGGCACTTGGGCAGCTCTTCAAGCTGAGCTGGCTGATCGCTCGGGTTCTTGTGTTGGCTTGTCAAGCGCTTTTGGATGTTTTGATAGAAGAGGGAAGACACGTAGTTTTTTGCACAGTCCTCTGAATTACGTAACTGTCAAAGCAACATTTTGAAGATCCAAACTGACGACATGGATTCCGCCAATCAAGGTAAACAAAAACAAAGCAATCGAACACGATATTGGATTGATAGAGCAGCATGTACGTTTATCGCGTAGTGTAGCGTAACTGTAGCCTTATCTCTGGATCCCAGCGTGGTGAATATGTGGCGGTGAAGGGGAGATCAGGGCAGGGCAGGCGATCAGGTTACTAATGCACGACAAAAACACATCGCAACTGAGTGGAGGTGTTTGTATCTCAGTTATTTGATTTACATTGAAATTAAAGAGATGATGTAGGAAAGTTATGGTGCCTTTGCTCGACTTGTGCTTTTTATGGCGTGATGATTTTCAACTTGGATTTGGTATTTTAACATTAACCCAACAGTTAAGACAGCACCGGTCCTTTGTCCTTTTGTGTCACATTATGTGATGCTATTTAAATAGGCAGTTTAGGGTCAGTGAGGGGCTGATGACATGTCTCATTAATATAACTTACACCCCACGTGACCTCTCTGTCACAGCCTGACCTAAATTGGGCACAGTTTAATCAAACCTTTGAACTGTATGTATTAAATGGCTTAAAATATATACACAATGAATATTCAAACAGCATACAGTATATTGTTTTTGTTTATAATCTAAGTGTGTGTACACTGCATATTATTTTATTTTTTTCTTCTGCTGTTTATGCTTTTGCTTCTGAATGTGAGTTACTCTCATGTGAAGAGTGATTATACTCTTTTATACTTTTTTCTTTCCATGGTGACATATTTACTATTGAAAAAGGAAGTTTGGGTGGAACAAATTGAAAGACTCATGCATGCCTTCAAAAGATTTGTCACATCCACGAACCATGATTTGCTACTTGCTTGTCTGTTGCAGGTAGTATTACAGGGACATTCTTATTTTAGACAATTGATTGGTCAAACATCTGTGCAGTGCAGAATGAGTCATCATCATTTTGTTTTGTTTTTCCCCAGAAAAGAAAGGCTTTAACATTTAAATGTATCTGCCAAAAAGTAATAAAAAATATATATTTATTGGTGGGATTCTGTGATCACAATTTTTACATTTCTGTATAGTGTCACAGAAAATATTGACTTCACCTTTAACTTATGTCACTCAACAGTCAACACACTCTCTCTTTCTTTCAGACATCAATCTGAACTCTCCACATAAAGGCCTGGGCTCTGACTCTCTCTCGGACGTTCCTGAAGAAAGGGGAGCAGCAGCTGTGAGTCCAGAGACTCTTCCCCCAGGTCTGACAGAGGAGGAGGCCGAGGAACTGAGACTGGAGCTCACCAAGGTAAACGCCTACAGTCACTGCATGACACTGCCATACTGAACCATGAGTTTGAAGATGTGCTCATCTTCTCCTATAGGTCTTCAAATTAGGTTGTTTAACATGTTCATTCAGAGTGTTTAAAGGTGCAGTCTGTAAGAATGACAACTAGTGGTCGAAATAGGCACTGCAGTCCAAATTCAAAATATGGGAGATCGTCGTTTCTCCCGCCCCGTCTCCTCAGACTCGACAGTGTTCACACGGGTTGCCAGTTTGAGCACACGCAACAGGAACGAGCGCAATGGACAATGAAAATTGGCAAATTGGCACTGTGCAGTATCACAGACCAAAACAAAAACAAATATTCCAGCCTGGAAACGCACATTTCAAAGTAAAATAACTGGCTGTAGAAGTGTTTTTCAGAGAAACGAGTATGTGAACTTAGCATGTTTCCTCAATATATGCAAATAAATTATGGCATTTGTATGCTTTAGTAGAGTGAAAAAGTTACATACAGCACCTTTAATTATAAATAGAAAAATATATATTCCTGTTGAGGAGTTATTTACCTCTCTAAAAAAAAGTCTGTGACATCCTGGTATCAGGTTGAGGAGGAGATCCACACCTTGCGGCAGGTGCTGTCGGCTAAAGAGCGCCATTCGGCGGAGCTGAAGCGGAAACTGGGACTCAGCCCCCTGAGCGAGTTCAAACAGAACATCACTAAAAGCTGGCAGGACGTCCAGACCTCAAACGCGTAAGGATGCCTTCCTTCTACATGTCCCGCTTACTCAAACTCAGGAGGTGACTGGGATGCCATCTGCAAAGTCGAACCCTAAACCCGCTTCACAGACTCTTCTGGAATGACAGTGATTTGACATAATTTTGGACAAAATGTAACAAAATTCAGAACAAAAAAGGTTTGTTGAAGTGACAATTGGGTAACGACTTTGTATGATGGCAGATCCTGTAGCTGCGAGCTGTTAGCTGGTGCCATCAGCGGAGGAATTCATGGCAGAACTGAACCTTTTTGAACTAATCCACCTTTAATTCGCTCTCCTCCGGCTCACACACATTCCCCTCGCTTTATTCTGCTGGAAATCGGCCTAAAAATAAAGTCACAGTAGTCTAGATGCATTTTCTGTAGGATTGTACATTACCTCATGAAAGCATTAGAAAAAGCTCTTTGAGTGCCTGTTCAGGCACCGGAGATGACTGTGGCTTTCTGTGTATATTATGGGCGGGCATCTATGTCATCAGCTGAAAGTCCTTCAGTGTAATTGTTTTATCAGTTGAAAAATGGCAATCTGGTTCCAAAAGGCTCTGTGGGAGGATTGTAGTCGACTCATGAATCATCGCCATTTATTGTTTTCCAAGCTGGGGCTCATGGCCATTCGTTTGAGTGTGACTCTCGAGGTTTTAGAAACAATAGATGCTTGATGTTTGCTGTTGTTGATCCTGTAGGTGGATCAAATCTATGTTAAATCAAAGATGACCATAGATGGGTAAACTTATAGGTGAACGGTAATATAACATTTAATGGTAAGGTAAAATACTGCAAAGTATAATATTATAAATGTACATTAAATGTAAAAAAAAAAAAAAAAAAGGAAAATATAAAAAACTTTGTTAGATTTATAATTTTAATGGTAACGCATCTGTCTGTGAAACTGATCCATACAGTAGGATGTACATACAATTTCACTTTGCTCACTATCTATTCAAATAAATACTGAAATTAGCCAATGGAAACTCCAAGTGAACAAATATCAGCAGAATAATTTGCCTGGCTAGTATATCAGTCTGTCAGTACAGGGATGTTATTGGTCAGAAAATGTCAGTAACACCACACTTTGCTTTAGTGGTATTCACTATGTGCTCTGCTCCAGGCAGCACATAACCATGTCTGTGTTTTTTAAGCTATGTGAAGATGTCAGAGAAACTGGGCCAGTGGAATGACAAGGTTACAGGGTGCGATGTGTGAGTGTTTGACCACGTCGGCACGTATCCAGAGTTTATTTGCAGTGAAAGCATGAATTCCTCTCACCTACTTTCTACACGTCAATGGGGATTAAGCATTTGAACACCTGATTCCAGAGCTCAACCCTTCTCACCATCAAACAGTGTGTTTCAGGAGGAAACATAACTGATGCCTTGGGTTTTTTTCTGGCCTGTTGATCACAAATCAGTGGATGCAGTGCATCAAAATATAGATTCAGGTGTTCAAATGCTCTGCCTATTGATGTGTTAAATGAACCATTCATAACAGTCTGACACAAATAACTCAAATTTGAGACGGATGGTTTTTAACATGCTATGATCTGGTTTTCCTTTAGCATCGACTCTAACCTGCTCTACAATACATACATTTTTCAGCCCTGTTGATTCTCCACTCAAGAAACTGACTGAAACCTTTTGCATATTGAAAGAAAAAGACTGTTAATAAAAGAAAATAGCATCTTAATTGACACATGGTGAGGGCCGGAGGTATTTTTTCTATTTTTGTTTAAGTGGGCTTCTGAAACACTGAATCATGTCACATATTTTTGACTCTTGTTTTTTCCATTCACGGTCAGATAGTCAGTTTTTTTTGTCCACCCATGCAAATAGTACTTCATCTCTGAAACAAACAGGATCATCACGCAGATGTTTCCTTCTTTAAATGCTATGCTGCTTTCATGTACCCTGAATTAGTAGCCACTGAAATTTGAATCAGCTGTTCACCTTCTCACGTATTGAGAGAGTTTTTTTTGTGTGTATGTCTGTGCAAATACTTTATCGCTTCATTAATTCAAATCTATTTACAATACTGTTCAGATGTTTGGGGTCAATGTGATTTTTTTAAAAAATTATTTGAAAGAAGGCTCACCAAGGGTGCCTTTTATTTATACAGTAAAAACAGCAATATTGTGAAAAATTATTACAATATAGTTTACTAGCTGAAAATAACAGCATTTATTTATAATAGAAATCTTTTGTAACATTATAAATGTCTTTAACGCCATTTTTGAAAAATCTATTTAATGTGTCTTTGATAAATACATTTTTAATTTCTTATTAAAATCTTACTGACCCCACACCTTCGGATGGTGCACCAGCCTACTCTGCCAATAATAAATGTCACATCAAACCGGTTGTTCGCTAACTGTTGAAACCAAATTGAAACAAAATTCAGTACCCAGTTGCATAAAGCACCTTAATCTTTTCCCTTAAAGGGTTAGTTCACCCAAAAATGTCATTTCTGTCATTAATTACTCACCCTCATGTCGTTCCAAACTCGTAAGACCTTTATTCATCTTCGGAACACAAATTAGGATATGTTTGATGAAATCCGAGAGGTTTCTGAACCAGCCATAGGCAGCAACATCATTGCCACTTTCAAGGCCCAGAAAGATAGTTAAGATAAAGTTAAAATAGTCCATGTGACTACAGTGGTTCAACCTTAATGTTATGAAGCAACGAGAATACTTTTTGTGCGCAAAAACACTGAAATAACAACTTTATTCAGCAATTTCTTCTCTTCTGTGTCAGTCTCCTACGCTGATCACGTAGTAAACTGCAGTTGTAATTACAGTAATACTAACAGGTTTAGCTAGTTACATAGATTATTATCTTAAATCAGGCCCTGTGATGAGACTAAGGTCACTAAGGGCCTCTATGTTTTTCCCCGGGTCCCATGAATCATAGCGGCAGTCCTGATGTAGTTGCAGGTTCATAGCTGAACCTGTCAGACAGGCTATATTATCACGAGTGTGTGAGATATCTCCCACTTCCCTCTTTACACACAGTTTGAATCACACATCCAGACTGAGACGTCTACAGACAGAGAGCATATGTTTGTGTAAGGAAAGTCTTGTCAGGGATAGATGAACGAATGCCACGTCTGCAGCAATACAGACCAATTGATGCTTCCTGAAACCATACTTGCTGTAGTCATGAATATTACATCAAGACCTACTTTACTTATCATGCACGCTAACATGCTACTTGCTACCCAAAAGCTAAGGCAGCTTATAATGTCACTTTTTTTAATCTTGGAAAGCTGAAATATACTCACACATGAGTTTCACACGAGTTTCTTAAGTTAAATGCCTGGAGTTTGTGTGTGTACGAATGATGTGAATTAAACTGCCATTTCTTTGCTGACTGTGCAGTTTAGCAGCGCCTGCATTCTGCTTGTTGTGAGGCAGCATAACTGTATAATCGTAATTTAAAAATGAAAATGTTGTATGCATGTGTGTGTTTATAGCACCTTGTGGTTGTGAGAGTGGAGATTTGAATGTATTACCCTGTTCGTTTGTAGCTATGTTTCAGCTTCTTCCACTCTGGATGACATTACCAGCTCTGAAGTGTGAGTTACTTCATTCTTTACGTTCATTCTGTGTGTTTTAAAGGTTGTTTTCTGGTTTTATTATGGTCCTGAAGGGTTAAAGGATTGGTTTAGGGTGGCTTGCTATGCTTTGTGGATATTTTGCTGATGGGTTATTATTTAGATATTACAGTCTTATATTGCTTTTTAGTTGTGGGAATTGCAATTGCATATGTGCTTACTCTGTAGATGTTTTGTGGTGATACTCTCTTTTTCAGGATTCTTTGATGAATAGAAAGAACAGCTTTTTTTTAAATAGAAATGTTCTGTAACATTATGTCATTACTGTCACTTAATACATTATGCATCCTTTTAAAAAGTAGCATATATTCGTTTTGTTTTTTATTTTTTTCCAGGTGCTATCCAATGAGATAACTAACATTATTTGTAGGGGTGCACCGATATAAACATTTTGGCCGATATCGACGATAACCAATAATTCTGTATATTTGAAATCCGATAACCGATACATTGGCTGATAAATCTAAATCCAAAGCAATTCAAAACCATCATGGCAGACAGCGCGCATCTGAAGCGTCTCAGCTGTTGGAAATAATCCATTATTTATCGGCTTTAATATATCGGCCATATTTTCTTATTGGGCCGATATCCATAACATTAAAAATGAACATTATCGGCCGATACCGATATGGTGACCGACATATCGTGCATCCCTAATTTTTTTAACGCATTTAAGGGTATCTGACTTGATTTTGTCATCTGGAAGCTGAGGTCATGTTGACTAACTCCTGAAAAGTGGAGAAGTTCAAGGACATTAATGAGTTTCACATGTTTTTTTGTTTTTTTTTCTCTCTCTCCCCACATCCTCTTCTCCCTGTGCTCTTCCTCTCACAGGTATAAAAAGACTCAGGAAACGCTGTCTCAGGCTGGACAGAAGACCTCAGCCGCCCTCTCCACCGTTGGCACGGCCATCAGCAGGAAACTGGGTGACATGAGGTAATGTACAAGTCAAAATGCCCACCCATGTTCTTCCTGTCTTTCTCTTGTACTCTTATTCCAGTCACTAAGAACAGTGGCACTGCAATCACTTGTGGTACTATGAAATATAAGATTTACTAATAAGATTTACTAATAATTCCCTGTTAATGTCGTTTTTAATTATTTAGTCTAACTCTGCAATTCAGTTTTGTTGTCAACACTGCACATGATTTATCTTAAACTGCATTTGCATGTGTGGCATTTCATGGACTTCATCACATGCCTCTTACTTTTTTCATTTTGTCTTTGGGTTTGTTCACACAGGCAGTACAAATCCAACTCAAATTCATTGATTTTTAATGGCAAAAAAAGTAAGATCTAATCTGAAAAACATACAAATTTGGTTTGAAATCTCAGTGGGAACAGTCATTCTAAAAGATTGTATTGAAAACTGAACTGGATTTGCATACAGAGCCTGTGTTCCCTCGGTCCCAGCTCTCTTTGGTTATTGATCCACTCTTTTGCATGTGTGTCACATCCCACTGTTATTCATCATCACTATAAAGCCATGATTATCCATAGTGAGTGTGTTAATGCAGTGTAGCCACCGTCAGAAGAGCCTTCAGCTGTTTTACTTTGAACAGAAGCTCTCCCTGACCTGTTCTCCTGGCTTCACTTCACTACATTGTTTCGGTTTCTAGTTCCTATCAATATTTGCACACATTAATTGAACTTCCTTCACCACCCCTAACACAAACAGAAGTCAGAAGATATGGAGTTTTATGGAGGCCTGTATTTTAAAACATCTTGTTGTTAGTTGGTCCTCAGTTTTCTTAAATGCAGAGGTCCTGAGACTCGGTTATCAGTTTGAAAATCACGAGACTGGTGTGTTGAGCAGCTATGATCATGGGCGTCAGAAGCAAAAAAAATGTGGGTGGGTCATCCTCCAGATTTTTTACTGGAGTAGATTAGGGGTGTTCCCGAAGCCAATACCTTATCTAAAATATCTATGCAATAATGAGTGAAGTGAATGAGTGAGAATAAAAATGAAACGAGTGCAAATCCGTCAATGCGTGCATCTCTCAGAAACCACAGCTTGGCAAGAGTAATATCAACTCAAATAGGATATTGTATATTATTGTATGTATATTTAAATGATTTAAGCTTTGTCCAATGTACAGGCTACTCGAATTAATTGAATAAGCACAGCACGATCACAAATCAAACAGCGCGTTAATTCCCGTATCTGCGCGTCTCCGTCTCAGCAACCAGTTCTAATAGCCTATAATCAACTAAGATTCATATACATTAATTACTACATGATGTGTCTATTTAAATGTTTTAAACATCATGATGTCCCATAGGAACCTGAGACTCGCGCTTAGGACAGGACAGTTCTCCGTTACGGAAGACTGCTTTAAAACTTCCAGAGACCTCAAACAGAAAGCACAGAGCCTTTCTTTAAAGTGAATTTCGTTTTGTATTAATTGTATCTTAATTTTAATCAATGTTTCATCAACCAATTGCCTGGATTTAATAAATAAGAAGTAAATATAGCAGGCAATAATCAAGACACGGAGGCGCCGGCGCATGAACTGGAGCTCGTCTCATAAATGAACCGAAACTCGGCGTAGCCTATAAGTATAAGGTTGCCTCACAGACCTGAAAAATAAATAAATATATATATAGAAAGCTTTTAAACAGAACAATTCAAAACGAAAGAAAACAGACTGCTCTCTGCTTATGTAATGCGTATGAAATGTGCATTTCTCTCTGGCGCGTTCACTACGCCAAAGCTACTCTTTGCAGCCGACACACACAAAAACACTTGTTATTAATAAACAATAAAAATGTCTCCTTGCCATATTTGACATATTCATAATCATTACTTTTGCCGGTTCTTTGTGACAGCTTTTAGGTGCTTTATTGGCAGCGCCACCCTTACATGTTACATGAACGTGTCACGCCGCGTCACCACACCCCCAAAAGCATCGAGGTTTGTATTGAATTGTGCGTCAAAAATCGTGATACGAACCGAATCGTGGGTTTGGTGTATCGCTACACAGCCCTATCAAATATAGTAGGCTAACGCATTTTTTGGCGGTAACGGTAACGCCGTTATTAAGATGGGAATAGTAATCAATTAGATCACTGCAAGGGACTGAAAAGTGAGCAGACATATGCGCTGAATTAGAGACAGTAAAGGTGAGTGGGTCCAATATCATTGGTCTTAAAAAGTGGGTGGGTCTTGTCCCACCCATATACAATGGTTCCGACGCCCATGGCTATGATGCATGACAGAAAGAAGATATTAGCTTCATTCGACAGATCAAAAGCTTCAGCCATGTTTTATAAATGAAACCTCCGCTGCTGCTCTGTCCTTTCAAGCCTGAACTTTCATTCATCAGACAAATAAGTACATCACTCAAATTTATTCAGTGTGTAAATAACATCTATTCATGTTCATCCCAATAAAATAGTTTTTTGGTAGTCCGTGGATTACCCCTCTAGTCCTCTATATCAGTACAAACAGTATTTCTCATAATTTGTTCTTCCTTCTTGCTCTGGTCATGCTTAACTCCCAATCTGATTGGTTTTGTATTCCCGTTTCTTTTTAAACGCTGCCTTTGCTTGGTCTACAGAGCTCTTCCTTTCTCTAACTCCTTTGGGTAAGACTGATTAATGTCTTCAAATAATGAATGCATAATATAGAGCTCTGTTTTTAATACCAAGCCCAATTTAATTTAGAAAAAAATGCTTTTATTATCATTTGAAATTAGTATTGATTTTAATGTTATTTTGGCTCCAAAACCCTGCTTTTGCTTGAATGAAATGAAATGTGCTAACAGTCTGTCTCGTGTAACCCAGTTGATCTCTCTGCCTTACATGCTTTCCTGCTTGCTTGCTAACACACACAACTTTTTCTTCCTTTAATGCTTTCGAAGTAGCAACTACTCCATTCGCCATTCAATAAGTATGCCAACTATGAGGTAAAGTACTAGTGTAAAACAATTCCCCTCAACACAAACTGTTTCTGATTTATTGGACATTAAAATATTAGATATTGTTCACACGAATGACTACATAGTTTTTATTTAAAGCAAAAAATGCTAAAATGTCTAAACTTTTAACCTTTTATCTGCCAGTTACTTTTCTGTGCACATTTGCTTATGTATAATTAATTTGAATGCTTCTTTCACTGTGAATTCTGGGATTAATATGCGTGTTTGTTAAATAGGAACTCTCCAACCTTCAAATCGTTTGAGGACAAAGTTGGAAACATCAAGGTAAGAATTCCCTTTTGAAACTGGGTCAATGACATGACACTTATTTTTTTGGCAGATGATCTAATAATTTATGTAAAAAATACAATTGAATATTTTTTTTTAAAAGTTCATCCATCAAATCAAAGTCATGTAGTGCTTTAACAAGAGTCAACAACAACCATATATAAACTACCATTGAAAAATTTGGGTTCAGTAAGATATTTTAATGTTTTCGAAAGAAGTCTATTAGGCTCACCCAGGATTTATTTATTTGAACAAAGGTACAGTAAAAACAGCAAAACTGTGAAATTTTATTATGATTTAAAACAGTTTTCAATTCAAATCTGCATCAGCCTCATTACTCCAGTCTTCAGTATCACACGATCCTTCAGAAATCTTTCTAATATGCTGATTTGCTCCTCAAGAAATATTTCTGATTAATATCAATGTTGAACGCAGTTGTTCTGCTTAATATTTTTGTGGAAACCATGATAGATTATTATTATTTTTTCAGGATTCTTTGATGAATAGAAAGTAAAAAAAAAAAAAAACATTTATTTGAAAATAAATTCTTTGTGTAAAATTGTAAATTGTACTGTCACTTTTAATCAATTGAATGTGTCCTTGCTAAATAAAAGTATAGATTTCTTTAAAAAAATAAAATAAAAAATCTTACTGACCCCAAGATTTTGAACTGTAGTGTAGAGTAGTGGACCCTTGAAGTCCCTTAGAGCCAAATTTTCTTGTGGTTCAACCCTCCAAAAAACTTAATGGCTTCTTTTAAAATAATATTTAAGATGCAAGAAAAATATGGTATTACTTTTTTCTTGATGATTACACCACATGAAATGTAAACTTTTACTAAAAATGATATAAAAGTTTTTCAAAGCCATATAAAACCACATGAATACGAAGAGTACATGACGGATGCATCTTAAAATAGAACTGCACTTTTCTTGATCTTTTTCTGTCTGTGTGTCTCAGTATAAGGTGGTTGGAGGGAAAGCAAATGGGGAAAGTGCTCACTCTCCGAACGAGTCAAACCCAGTGCAGGACAACGCTCCATTCTGAGAGCCCACCCTCTCCATTCAAACACTCATCTCATTTCTTTGTGAATCCTGAATCCTGACTACACCCACACTTCAGTTCTCCCAATCCTTCCGTTCTCTATGAATTCTTTCATCCCTCCTTTGATACTCCTCCACCTACTGCTAGCATGTGCTTGCTCATCTCACTAAAAAAAACACGCATAGTACAAGTTCTGTGACATGAAATCATCACAGGTTGTACAAAGGAAGAAAAATGTTGAATCATTTTGTATTAGAAACTATTTTACACTGCTTTGCATAATGTTTTTACATAACTTTTATCTATATATGACTATAAAGGAATACAAATAACTATATTTAATCAGTACTGCCAAGCAGCATTCATCAGATGGCAGAGGGGTACAAAACACAAAGAAGAAACATTCAAATCTGAAGGGGGGGGGGAGAGGATTCTAGGCCAATAACGAAAAGAACAGAAACTTGCTGCAGGTTCCTATGCTGCTGAGCATTCAGTTGAGTTCTTTTTTACTCTCAGTACAATGTGAAGCGAGGCTTTGCTGTACACCTGGTGAATGTCTGACCTCCTCAGTCGGCCTTACACACACTCACTCTGTATTGCTTTATTGGACTTTCGCTGGTAAAGTTTTTTTTGGCGTTATATCCTCTTTTACCTTTGCTCTTTCTTGCTCTTGTTCGTTATTATTATTGTTATTTTTTGATTGATTAATGGGAATGTTTTATTTATGTTGGAAATCACTTGCCTTTGCTTTGTGCCATGCTGTGAGTGCCAGTTAGTAGATGTCATAGACCCTTTTCTGTCAGAATGTTTCACACGCACACAAACTATCACATCACAAAGATCACTTTGTTCAATTGTAAGAAATAAAAATGCAATTGCTCTCATGTGCACTCACCCAAAATGCCAAATGGCGAGTAAGTCCTGCTAAGTAAAACAAATTCCTTTTGTTAGTGGCATTTGTTGATTTTTCCAGACAGATGCAAACATTAGTGTAGTCTGTATGGTAGCACAGTCACTTTTTACCTGAACGATATTGGAATATATTTCACTATTAGCAAGTGTTGTCTCTTATTTGACCTTTTTTTTTGTATCCGTTCTTTCCTGATATTTCATTCACTTGTATGGGTTAGTGGGTGGCCTTGTTTCAGTATATTACACAATGATGATTACATGTCTCATTGAGTGAGATGTAAGGGATTACATGCATTTGACTGACTGATGCTGATGAGGAGGATGCCAATTTCACATGACTTCCTACTGAAATCCGTGTGTTACGCCATAGAATTAGAATGCACCTGTAGTTCTGCATAGTGCAAAACGTTGAAAAGATGAGGAAAAGATAGTGAACATTCAGAGGGAAAGGACTATTATTATTATTATTATTTTGAGTAGTATATTTACAAGTCATTTGGGGAGGTTGTTTAGGGAACAGGCACCGTATAGCTTTAAATTAGGGATCTCAGCCTAGCTGTTCAGGCTCTGATCATTTTCTTTTAAAACAACAGTGGTGTAATGCTTCATTTATTTTGTCAATTGTTTGTATATTAATAAAGCATTCATTCAAATGGCCTTTGTTTGTTTCTCTCTTCCTTTCATATTCTTCATGACGTAAATCTGCCACTAGGTGGCAGTGTACATTACTTGAAGATTGAAGAGGTCATGTGCTTCTGGGTCTTTGCTCCTTTTTCGGTCCTCACTGCAGAACATGAAATCCACGGGGAGGAGTCGGATCCAGATCCAACTCCTCCCACCTTACATATACCTAAACCTACACATCTCCGCCCCCTGATCCCTAAACCCACCCCTAATCCTACCCATCTCCACCCCTTGGATCTTGATCCGACTCCTCCCCGTGGATCTCATGTACTGCATTGAGGTGCTACTGGCTTTTTCAGCAAAGATGCCCAATTCATGTTTTAACATTCTTCTTTTGTTCTTGCATTAAGATGTAGATAATATACATTTTATTAAGGCTTGAGCACCTTTGATTTACAGACTCTGAATTCCGCTTTCAGGCTGCCCAGCTATTCTCAGTATGATACATTTTCTAGCTAACATTTTTTGTTTAATGCCTATCAGATCATTAGTTACCATATTAGTTGGATTATAGTTAAAAACGTTTATTAAAATTATTTAAATTAAATTCTGTGTTACAAACAATTCTTCTCGAACGGTCGGACCAAATTTGAAAAAGATGAAAATACTAAAGGACATACAAAAATAAAACAAAACCATTCAGCTGTCTTATGATATATTATGGTTTTTTTTTAATAATTTCCCCGAAGCTTTCCTTCCTAGCTCAAAAGCAAACATCTATGGGTAGGTATTCGGTTTTATTCGTCAAACGCAGAGCTAAATCTGATTCGTATGCGAGTAATCAATTACCAACTAAATCGCAATATTGCAGTTAAAGAGATGTGGGTATTATTTGTTTTACAAATGATAAGTGGAATTTTTGAGCAAAACATTACTTCCCTGACCGGGAATCGAACCCGGGCCGCGGCGGTGAGAGCGCCGAATCCTAACCACTAGACCACCAGGGATGCGTGACATATGAGGTTGTTGAATTAAACTAAAACACATTACCCAACTTATTAAAATGATATACGTTATATATATTCATTATGTGCATTTATTGATATTGTTATACGGTATTATGCACACAATGTGTTACAAGACCAAATCTTGGCAACACTTTCGGTGTTTCTGAACATTTTCAGAAAGAAAGCACCAACCCTTCCGTCCTTGATTTCGCTGGTTTGATCCGGTTCCACGCGGAGGTGTTTATATAGAGGAGAGAGACGCCCCGCCTCCATTTAAACGTATCTGTATAAATGACAGCGAACGAGTTGTTTTTGTTAGACAGCATTGCGGTAACGGTAGTTATTTCCTGACGTGGAGGGTCTTATCCATCCAAACCTTTTCAAATGGGCCCCATCGCCTAGCGTTTTCTCCCCAAAGCCTCCGACTGAATCGAGCAGGGTGCTTTAATAACATCAGCACGAGGGCAAAAGAAGGTGAGGATGTGGTCTTACACCTAATATTTTAAAGGGTGGTCATTGTTTGGGTTAAAGAATCTGAGCAGAGTACATTTAGTCTAACACTGTTAATGCTCTGCATCTTGCTATAGTGCTGTACTTACTGCATGTTTTCTCATGTTTGGGGCAAAATGTTTCTTTTGTGAGTGCATGACCATGCCCCTCAGTCTCAACTGCCAAAAATGATATGGGCTTACTGTAAGTAACTTCCTCGCGTAGTCTTCTGAAACATGCGGTGGAAGTCCTTTTCTTAATGAATGCCTTGTGTGGCATAATGTCACTTTGGTTAGTATTGTGGTTTGACACTAAAACATGAGTAACCCTTACAATAACAATATCTAACCAAAACAAGGTTTCAAACCACACATTAGTGATACAACCTCTTAAATGCCTTCTTTTGAGTCGATCTGTATTCATTAGAAGCAATTTTCAGGGTTAAGATGGTAAATGATAATCTGGTTGCTACAGAAGCTGTCATATCTGACCAAATCTCTTTTCGCTCTCCTCACAGGGTTTCCATCCAAGTCACGATTTACACAAGTCTGTAAAATGGCAGCCATCCCAGCTAGTGGTTCTCTTGTTGCCACTCATGACTACTACAGAAGTAAGTAGCCTTGACCGTTATCGTAAATGCACCATTAAAAGTTGATGTTATACTGAGAATTTGCCTTATAAGACTGTTTCTTCTCAGGGCGCATTGGCTCTACATCCAGTAGCAGCTCATGTGGCAGTTCAGAGTACAGTGGGGAGGTTATTCCACATCATCCAGGTCAGTTGCATTTCATTTCAATCTCTCTTCAAGCCCCCGCCTAAATCAATATTTTATTGCAACAGTTGACAATTTACACGCATTATACAACCATTTGCACAGTCACCACCACCACATCAGCTCTGTTTAAATGGGTGTCCTTCTGATTGTTTTGGGTAATCAACTTTTGTTGAAGTCACTTCATTGAATTTAGAAAAAGCACTTTCGCTTAATCTGGCAGGGCTCGTGTTAGGCCGTTGTCTTCACCTGACTGCATACATGGACATGTCTTTGTTTAGAGACTCTTTTAACAGTGATTGTGTTAGTGCTTGTGTATTTGTCTACTAAATCCATTAAAAGATTAGGAAAGACTGGTGGTCCTTTGTTCTGACCTGTTGTTTAATTGTGCTTTAGGTCTGCCCAAACAGGATTCTGGTCATTGGTGGTCCAGTTTCTTCTTTGGGAAGCAGAACCAGCCTGGTATGGGAACTCTTACTGAGGAGGCGCAGCAGAAGTGAGTCATTGGATTGAGTTTCACCTAAGTTGGTGCATGTAACATGAAGGCCTTGCCAAGTGCTGATTTGAAATGCCTAGGCAGTTGCAAATTTGTAACGAGGTATCAGTTTGTCGTATCAATGGCTACAATTCTTAATCTGGTTGTCTCTCTGCAGGTCAGGGGTGGTGAGCGTGACCAATGGGCAGGTGACATGTGTCGCCCGGGAGATGGTGATGAGGCAAGCGAGCGAATGTAGCGATGGAGGCAAGTCGGAGGCGGGGAGTTCTCCTCATTCCTGAATCCGAGACCAGATCAGGACACCAACGCTAGGGGACGGAAATGGTTCCCTTTTTCTCTTTTAATTTCCCATCCATATAATGGGCTGTTTTAGTACTTTTTCTTTTTTGTATTCATTGTTTTATATATATATATATTATATCACGTAATAAATGGAAGAGCTGAAACTTGCAAAAAGAATTTTGTACATTTTTACACATCCGTAACTCTGATGGATATTTTGTTACTTGTTATTGTCTTAACCTGTGTTTTTCAGCACAATAAATGGTCTTAAACAGCCCACTACTGCTACTGGACTTTGTTTGTCTTTATAATAAATTAACCATACACCATCTTCCTTATACAGTTGAGGGAAAAGACCTCCTTTTCCAAAAATCCTTTGCTGTGCATTTAGTAGTTTACTGGAAGGTGCAGTTATAATTGAATGATAAAAGCTCAGAAATATATGGGGTCTTGAGAAAAGACTGCATTCATTGTCCATTTCTTTTGCACATGGTTCTTTTATATAACATGGTAATTGTGCATTTTGAATGCGTATACATTACAGCTGATTTGTACTAAGTTAATTCTAAATGTGCTGTGTGGAGGAAAGTCTCCTGCATTTTGTTCATTTAATTTAAAAGAATGATCAGATTATGTAACAAGCATGCTCCAACTAAATTCAGCGAATCCGCTTTCAACTTGGACAAACAGACTGTTTGATAGTAACTGAGGGAGACAAAATGTCATGACCATGAAGAACTGCTTTGAGTGAAATGTCAGTTCCCCTTGTATAGAAATGACGCAAGAATTTAAAAAAAGCCAACCGTTAGTTTTTGGAGAAAACGTTTAATTCAAATAAATGCATTGAGCTCCGCATCCTTTTGAACAGGGTGAGCTGTAGGTCCAGGAAATAAAAATAGGTTCAAAGTGCTCTTGAGTGGAATAAAGCATTTTAAAGACATTTTACTAAACTAGTGCATTGCTTTCTGAATAGAAGACCTCTATTTCATACTTGGACATGGTTTATGAAACCCCAAAAGGACAGAACATAGTGCCTGTGGACTTCAAAATATGCAGTGTGGGCGGTAGACAAAAACAGTGATTAATGGAAAATTGCTCTGTAGAGATGACGTTGTACAGCTTTGTTCCCATGTGTACATGGATTTTCCAGGTCACTAAGTTCCGATCGTTGGTTAGATAAATGGAAAAGCCTCTTTGTGGCATGCTGACTCTGTTCTTTTTCAGGCTTCATTTTTCCTTTGTTCGCAGCAACAGGTCCCAACTAAGAGACCGTGACAGGTGCTGTGATTGGTTTACTTTAATGTACTTTTTAAATGCAGAATAGTTCGTTGGATGTCCATTAAAGACAAATCAGTTTGCTCAATTGCCATATTGGCTATTTTCTATTTAGGCAATAGATACAGTTCCTATGAATTTGAATGATGAAAGAGCAAGATCTCCAAAATTAAAACCAATATTATAAATTATTCTTTACGTCAAATCACATTAGATTTCAGGTTGGTCCAGCTAACGCGCATGCAAAATAATAATAATAATAAAAATAAAAAACAGGCAATGGCTATCCTAAAAAATGGGATATTTTAACTGCAAGCTAGGACCTTCTTCCTATAGTCATATTGTGAGCTGTGATTTCTCCAATTCATTAATTAGGAGAGGTCCATCTCTTCCTCATACTGTTGGTGGGAATATGCTTTGTGTAAATTAAGCAGAGTGAATGCAACACATGGCTAAATGGATATTACACAGTATAATTACACACCTGTTCAAAAGTGGGGTCATTAGCACATTTGTTTAAAGAATTTTTTTTTTTTATTATTCAGCAAATGTGCATTAAACTGATCAAAAGTGACTGTAAAGACATTTATAATGTTACGAAAGATTTCTATTTAAAATCATTGCTGATCTTTTGATCTTTCTATTCATCAATGAATCCTACCATAAATGATCAGTTTTCCCTGAAATATAAATAAGCACAACTGTTTTTAACTGATAATAATAATAAATGTTTCTTGAGCAACAAATCAGCATAGGATGATTTCTGAAGTATCATGTGACACAGAGGACTGGAGTAATGATGCTGAAAATTCAGCCTTGACATCACAGGAATAAATTACATTTTAAAATATATTCATTTATTTTAAATTGTAATAATATTTCAGCCTTGGTGAGCATAAGAGACTTACTGACCACAAACGTCTGAATGGTAGCATAAACTAAAACTTATTTGTTGTTTTCTAACATGCAAGTCTTCTGTGGACAATGCAAAAAAAAAAAAAAATCTAGGTAATAATCAGCAGCACATATAAGTCATACCCTTTTTTTCCCCAGCACTCTATGCATTATTATTGTGCAGATGTCTACTTGACCACACAATCAGCAGGACTTATCCGTTTGGAAGAGGTTTCGCTTGATGTCTGGCTCCTTAAAACCAAATTTATTGTCCAGCGATTGTTCATAGGCCCTGAGAAATCTGCATTCAGACAGGAATAAAAAGACATTCTTGTCAGAAGTGATAAATGTACATCTAGTTAGATCAACAGATCTCAGTTGAACTTCTACCATACCTTGGTGTTTGGATTTGGTCAACCAGACAGTCACTTGTCTTTGCTTTGGTTCCATTAAGTTATCAGAAAGACTATTGACTGCCTTCATTTTGTCTGTTGGGTAGATGCCTGCAAACAAAAACAATCACACACACATAAAAACTTGAGAAAATCCTCTGAAAATCTGAATCTGCACTTTATTCAGCATTGATGAATATTTTAAAGTCCCCCTGTGGTGAAAATTCAGCTTTTTGTTTATGTCTATGTGGTGTTTTTATGCTTAAGACAAACCATGTGCAAATTCACAAGTCAACACCATTGCTGAGTATTTTCTGCTTAAAACTGCAGTTATCTAAAGACAGTTTCAAAAACGCGGTTTGAAATTGCTGGTGTTTTTGATGTCACAAACTACCTTTTAGCCAATCAGGATCTCAGTGGATCTCTGAGCTGGTGTGAGTGAGTGGAGGCGGGGCTAATTTGCATATTCATAGAAATGCATTTACTAGATGAGGCAAGGGTGTAGAGTTACATTCAAGCTATTTTTCCTTCCAAGGAAAAACCTTTTAAATATGTAATTTTGGTTTTAAGGGGTAAAATGATTGACTACATGGGGACTTTAAATGTACTTTTAAACATTTTTGTTTTCTATTATTTCTTATGATGTTTTTAGTACCCAGTAATGTTTAAGCAATGTAATTAGGTCTATTTCTGTCAATTCACAAAAAGAGGAGCAATGCTTTTATTTGTTCAACAAATAAGTCAATGACTATGTCAGTTGATAAGGCTAAAATAGGAACAGTGTGTGCTAATAAACAGAGCTTTGGGAAACTGCAGACAGTCAGAATTACACGTGTCCTGTAGCTGGTTAAACATCAGAGAGCTAAAAATAGTGCTGCACTTACTCCGATAAAACTCATTCCGAGCGAGCAGGCACACGGGGGCATTTACGGTGGTCATGGTCAGCTTTTATGTGTAAATATGACTGAACCAAATGCTTGGAAATGGAAGTGTTCTTTGGAACCTGGAAAAAAATAGCAAAAGAGGTGTATTTAAAGGTCAGTGCTGAATAAACTTTATTTGTTTTATGGTCAGGGAACAAATATCCTCATCAGAGCGACATAAACATGATAGAAAAAAAATTCTGGGAAAAAAACTGGTCAAAGTCCATTTTGGAAAACTAAAATCTCTTATCATACTTTAGACAGAACAAGACCAAACTTGTTGACGCCACATAAAACAAACATGCTGATTGTAGATGCATCACAGGTGTGTCAAAAGTCATATAAAGAACCTTTGTCCCAGTTTTGCTCAAATTGTAAACAGAATCTGCTAGTGTAGGATTGATGTGCACATAAGCTAGCATGTACAACCCTTAAATATGTTTGGATTTGAATGAGCAAAATCGATGTTGTCCTGAGTTAGCCTGACTATGTCAGACTTCGTACTTCCACTCAATTTCAGTTCCCCCCCCCCCCCCCCACCCACCCCCCCCCCCCCCCCCACCCCCCACCCCCCACCCCCCACCCAACCCCGCAAGAAAGAAAACACTTTTCACTTATGCCATTTCAGACTCTGTCTACGAAGCAAAGCGAAGTAGCAGAGTTTGGTATTACCAGGTTAGTTCTGAGTAGCAGCATGACTGTGATTTCGTCCACAGATTCTTTCTAAATGAATCAGTGTTTTTGAACAAATCGGGTTGAGTGAATGATTCAGTGACTCTTTCATAGAGAGTCACTTGTCGCCACCTACTCGGAATCAATGTAACTCACAGAAAGAGTGAAAAACGGTAAGTTATGTCTGCCTGATGGGCTCACTAGGGCTCACTATGTCTGAATTCACTAGGGCTACTAATGGCTAACATTGTTATATGATTTGGTATAATTCCTGTTTGGCCCTGCCCCAAATGGCACACTCCGGACTTGTTGACTTCCTCAGAGTCCACACTTCGGGGACGTCATGTAGTGCAGACCTATAGGGCCCTTAGCGCGAGTCCGCGAGGGCGCATTGAGAGGTATTTTTGGGACAGACTCGATCGTCACGCCGGAAACAGGAAGACGGTCTGATTGTTGTTATGGA